AAAAGGTCGCTGGCTGTCGAATGAAAAGCAAATATCGTTTACTATAGGTGACACTGCTCTGAGCAATGAGTGCTCTGGTTCACGAGTGCATCCATCAATTCTCTGCTATTGTTTTTCACACCAAGTACTGGCTTACGAGATGATTAACCAAAATCTCTTAATCACTTGATTTGCGCATTGATGCGACTCATTGGTCTTGCCTTCTTCACACTAAGTCTCTCTCTCTCTGCTGAACGGCTAGAGTGTGACAGAGAGGAATGCGTACCGAGCCAATGGCGCGCAAATTGGGCCGCGGGAAGGCCAGGATCGCTGAGGGCATGTCTCGATGCAAGTTCCGTATCGTTCCGCACATTTAGTTGGCCCTTGCCCCTCCACTAGGCATGTTTCCCCTTATCCGAATTTCGTCCTTATCGTTGAATTCTACATACCGTAACACAATGATCTCAAGATCACCCGAAAGCCTAGCAGTGAGGGGAGTAGCAATTTGACCGAACTCTAGTCAATAGTGTTATGTGGCAACGATGATTCCAAGCACCAAAACCTAGAGTCTGCTCGACGTATTGGTGCTTGGAACCTTCTGAGGTAGTTCTGAGCGGCGCTGGTGGAATGTCCCTCAAAAGCTCTCTTAACATTGAATTCGATACAGTGCTTCCAGCAAATGCGGATATAATCTCGTTTCAGTGTTTTTCGAAAAACAAATGAGACCTCTGTGCAAGTTCTTCCGTACGAATGTGACCCAGCGTCCACTGAGAAGAACACGGTCGCCGTTGGAATGGTTAGTCGAAATTTTTTTAATCTTACGATTTTTTTCAAGCTACATGTACCGTACGGGCGTAGTGTCCAGCATAGATAATTACGGGCGTTTTGTTACCACTCGCCGTACTATCGAGATTTGGGTTGAAGCTGCTCTGTGGTTAATAATTTTCCTCACGTAGGCAGGATATGGGTCTATCAAGAACTCTGGAGATCCTCCTCTGTTCTCCGGTTGAGGTGAATGCAGCATCATAAATAAAAACTTACGATTCTACCATATGGGGTTGGGGAGCACTCTCTTTTATGACCATCTTTTAACAGATGCTGTTTCGCGTATCTCAAGAAATACCAAGATCACTGTTTAATGGAAAACAAGTAGTGCATTTTCTCACCGAAAGCCATCCACAATCGCAGAAACCGAGCAAAATTTTCCGAAAGCTGCAGCCGTACCGAACGGGGTGTGGTCAGTTTTCTCTGTTCTGTTCTACTGCTTGCGGTCTACCCTTTAGTGATTTTCCTATCATAATAACGTTTCTCTTCGTAGTAAACATTTTGTCTGCACATTTTGGCAAATTAACTCGGTTTATCGCGATGGATTCTCATCAATAAAGTGCGCTACTGGTTCTCTATAAAAGAGTGATCTTGGAGTTTCTGAACACAAGCAAAACAGTATTTTTCAAGAAATTTGGTTTGAAAGGAGATCGAAAAACAAACAACAAACAAAAGTCACGTGCTCGAACAGATGAAGAGCTTTTCCTTCGCATGCGGCCGTTTATCTTCTGATGTGGAGAATCCAGAAGGACCCTCTCAGAGTTTCATCGACCAGTCCATATCCTGCAGACTAATTGAAGTACACAACTGTCAACCACAACGCGTTTCAGCCTAAATTTTGCGCACTTTGTCCGCTAGGCAACTTCCTGTTTATTAAAAAAATTAAAAAAAAAATAAATTTTCAAAATTTGAAAGCAGTGCTTTCTTGTGCAAAAAGAGTGACTGATACCTATCGTCGCCGACAAGTTTCAATGCACTCCCAAATGTGGAAAAAAAGAAAAACAATGCCGCAGGAAAAGAACTATTCTGCGGAATAGGTACGGGTCGGTGTTCAAGAAATCGGGACGGGAAAGTTCCTCTTGTGCTTACTTGAAGATTTCGTATGCAGGCACGCGAAATCGCATCCGTACTGCCAGCACAAGATTCTACATATGGAGCCTTTTCACAAATCTCCCTGAGATAATAAGTTTTCTGGGCATTCTTTAAGGTGCAGTACACTATACGCACCTATTGTTCACCTAATTCGGACCTCCAATGTTGATTCTTTCGAGAAATTGTAAACGGAGGTCTTGCCAGTCAATTGTGGCAGAGTACCCCGAGTACTGAGGATAAGCTATTCACTGAGCCTGAACAGATTATCAGCGTCGCTTCGACCGTATCGAACTGCATGCAGCTAATTACAGAAGATTTGTTCAGGACCAACCGTCGTGCTATGACTTCAGCGGACAGTTCAACTCACCTGCGCCGTTCTTCTTTCCGTCGTCGTCTTGCCCCAACACAGTGAATGCATCATCAAGTACCGATCAACTGTTGGACTTCACTCATGATGCCACAATTTGTTACGAAACTCAACAAGCATCAGATGTGGTAGGTAATGCTTCAGCAGTTGGAGTTCAGCTGACTTTAACACGCTGACGACACCAAGTTGTACGCGCATTTCGGCAACTTTTTGTTTATTATTTTTTAAATAGATATTGCTCCTTCAACAATTCCACCTCTGGTTAATTGATGCACTGTTTTCCGGATAAGATCATGCATCCAGACAGTTTTGAAATATGAAAAATGCCAAATAAACCGACAAAACGAGACCGATTCGGGTGAAATCTGACGCGCATGCGCGTCATGCTGTCGTCAACGTGTTAGTTGTTGGGTTCACGGGAACCACTTCTATAGAAAGTGGGAAGTTGCAAAGTGAATGTTGTCCGTTGTCTGCGAATTCAATTAGTGATTCACCTCTCAAAATTACAGGGATGTTCGTGAATTGGGCTAGAGCAAAATCTCCCTTGACTATCTGGTGGAGTAATTTGAACCCTTCCAAATTCCTTATAATGTCGTGGTGTCAAAAAGCTTGACAGCCTCTAAGATAACTACCATCCTTTTTTCAGGGGTTCCAGTATGATTACGATGGTGGAATGTTACGGCAAGCGCGTGTGAGAGATAGGACTACAAGTACAAGCACGCAATACCTGAACGAGGTGTATACCGACGGTCCTAGCCAAGAGGTGGCGATGGAGGCGCCCTTGGCAAGAACATTTGGTACGATGGTCAACGAAAAGGTGTTTGCCAGGTTGGGAAGCCGATATATTTTGAATATTTTATCGGAATTTTGGTATTTTCCCCCTTTGCTCTTGTGGGTAAAACACCAATTTTTGGGCGCCAGCCTTTCATTTTTTCACATCATTTCAGCGTACGAAACGCCGAAACGAGTATGGATGCGGCCGAGTTCGATTTACTTCGAGATATCGAGACCCAGACGACGTTGAACGATGTCGGACTGATGACGGATTTTTGGACCGATATGGGTCATTCACCGTGATATTCACCATTTAGACGTACTGAATAAAAGTGATCATTATTTTTGTTTTCAACATTATTTTTATGCTGTGGAGCTTTCTACTTCTGCCTTACGGTGCGCCCGAAACAAAAAGTCGTGCTTCCATAACCTCAAATTCAAGCAGTAATCTCCACCACAAGTATTTGAAGTTATATGCTCCTCGAAAAAATGGTAATCATTCTGAATTACGCAATACAGGGTAGCTACTAAATATTGACGCATACTTAAAGAGTCCATGCCAAATGAGTTAACTGTTACAGTTCAACGCAAGGTATTAGCGCTGTAGAACTTGCAAGTCTTGTCGAAGTTCCTTGCATATTACTGCTACCTGGTGAAAATGGTGTTTTTAGCGGGTTGGGGCGGGGGGGAGCATTCAGCCTTCTTACTCGGCCAAAGTGAACCTGAGGGGAACCTTCAATAGAAGTACGATTCATTTCTAACCATGGAAGCCAAGGGATCGGATCTGCTCCAGCCGCTTTCGTTCGCATTTTTGTGCTCAACCGTAGATAGTTCGCTTTTTGACGGAAGTGAGATCATACGCATTAAAATTTTCCCCAACTTGTCTGGCCCGAGGCGATAGGTCTGGCCTTGGGCAATACGGCTGCCGGTGTTCGTAGCGGGTTGAGGCGTGAGCCATTTTACCCATGCAATATTGCGAATTCGGGCAGGCAAGGAACTGAAAGGAGGAAACTGACTGGGCAGATTCCGAACTTCCCAATCGCAGCATTTCCAACGAGTCGATCAACCCTGTCAACTCCAAACGACCTTCCTAGAATCACAAGCACGATCCTCCCTAGGAACTATTTGAACGATCGGTTAGCCCTGTTTGTGACTGCTTTTACTTGGATGTTTGTGAAGATGGCATTGGAAGCGTGGTAAAGCTCTCATTGCTAAAGGAAAGGTTCGGTTATTACATTATTCTTCCACGTTGGGAAAATATTTGGAAATAATATTTATTGTATTGCAGCATTATGTGCAGACTCGAAGCCAATAAATTCCGCTCCTCATTAGTGATTTTTCAGCGTGGGGATGCTTAGCTTATACGAAGTTATTACGCAGCACTAGCGGGACTGGTAGTAAACCTGGGCGTGCAAATTTCCGATCTAACTTAAACAAGTCAGGAGTTGGTTCATCCCTAACAGGGGGGGGGCTTTCAGAGGCAGCGCTATTCTGCGAAATGGTTCCTCGCGCATATATGTAGGGAACGCATGTATGATCACAAACCATTTTCGCTTTCGAGCTGAAACTGTTTCAGTAGTATCAAAAACGTGGTGAATGATATCCATGATGGTTCGATCCCCCGCGGCGAATAAATTTTGCAATCAAGGTTGACGGCCACTTGTTGGCTCCAAAACGGTCCTGACGATGAATATGACATCTGATTTTGACATTTAGCGCGATTTGGCAACAATCGGTAGGCGCCAACCCAAATGCAAAATTTAGTCGCCGCAGGGGATCGAACCATCCAAGGGTTTCTTTGATTGCTACCTAAAGACGAAGACATCGTTTTGTCGTTCCCTACATGTCCTACACTGTCTCCTCAACGAAAATCCCGCCTACAACATGCAAAAAACCATTTTGAAAAACGTGGCTTGCCCTGAAAGACCCCCGTGTATAGAATTGTTACGCGTACTTCGTAAAGATAAAGGATAAGGATAAAGCATTTGCCGTTGATCAATCCCTTTTTGGGATGCGGCACGCATTCTACTTCCATTTGTACATTCGCAGTGGCATTTGAATGCGATGTGGCCTATACAATGACTTGCGGGGGCCAGCCGATGTTCAAGTCAGTGTTTTTTATCCTCCCAGACAAGTCTGGTACCAATTAACCGACCCCGGAGGGATGGAAGGCTTGGTTGGCCCGGGCGACTCACGACCAGGATTTGATCCCGGACCGCTCGCGTGGTGAGCGCGCCACTTGTCACTGCACCACTTCCGCCCTTCTCGGAAGGTATAGCCGGTCGGAACCTGACGTGAGCTAATCCAGCGAATACTGATAGAAATATATCAGAAGAAATCGTTGTGTGTCGGTGAGCTCTTTTTTAACGCACCAAGTATTCGCTTTTTCGGAATCGTAATGGTGAAAATAGGGTTGGGGGGGGAGAGCTATCCATTCTGTTCTGCGGCTCTGACGATAAGGGTTAAGGGCAGTTAAGGATACGTCTTGCGGGACACACAACTACTTTTATAACACGCTCATCTCAAGCAAATTATTGATAAGAACCGATAAAATCCCTACATCTTTCCAACCATTTTTCTTTTGCACATTTTCAGTGGTCCACCCACTATACAGTTCCTCCTCCACCCTACCGTCACCCCTTCCCCTAGGCCTGGACAAAAATATCCGGCCCTTGGCTCAGGATCGCTTCTCTGCGCTTTTCCAGAATGATTCAGCTGGTCCTCATCAAAAAGCTTCTTCGAATGACTGATTACACTTTCAGCGTTATCGACGCCTTGATCTTGATCTTATCGTCAAAGTCGCAGAGCAATAGAACAACCCCTCCAACTCCATTTTCACACAATGTACTTTGTTACCGAATATGATCTCCGGAACACGTGTGCGTTAATGGCGCCATTTGCCATGGGAACGGACCCCTCAAAGTGAAGACATGGTGATTACCCGTCGTTTAGATTCATTTTCCCCCACATGAGAAGATCTACAGAAGACTCACTATTTTCTGCTCCGTTAACAGACCGTGAAGATGTAGACTGGTATTCAATCATGCATGATATTGTTACCGCTACCGTAAACATGGCCCATGAATTTGCATTGTACGTCATTTTTGTAATACCGTTTCTCTGGTTACTCGAGATCAGTGCTATTTCTTCATGAAAATCGCCAGAGCTCGTGAGCGGTAACGAAAAACTCTGATTTCCTGACTTGACCAATCAGGACTATTGTTATAATCTGTACTTACCAGATCGGTGGGAAGTAAAGCGTCAAATATGAATCGTGCTAGCGCCCAGGCATTCAGAGCCGCCGTGGAGTTGCGGTAGTGCGATATGCACTACAACAATAGGAGAACTCGTGACCTACCAGCTGGAGAGCGAGAGCGCTACCACCACTCCACGGCCACTCTGAATGCTCGGACGCTAGTGTGATGCTTCACTTCCCTTCGACTTTGACTGCTCACGACTTCCTTGACAGATTCATCTCGCAGTTTCAGTTTAAACACCTTAGACATTGCTCCCTTACATTCAAATTGTTTTCCGCTCTGTAGGCTTTCTCCCAAGCGAGTT